ATAGCTAGAGATATGGAAAAAACAATAACGAAAATAAAGTTTTCATCACACATTATCTTAATCTTTTTCACTTTTTCATTCTTTAGAAATGAAATTTCTCAGAGCATGGAAAATGTTTTATTATATTAGAATGGTAGGTATAATTACTGATAATGAGTATTACACATTGATCACTTTGCTTTGGTCTATGAATCAATACTCATTTCAAATTCATAAGTTTCTTTTTATTCAAGTACTAATTTTCTCCTCGAAAATGTGGATGGAAGATGAATTGTTAATATTCCCTCAAAAGAAGATAAATGTGATCGTGCCTAATTTCATGAGATACTTTTACTTTCCGCGCACGCATTCAGCTAAAGAACATCAATATACAAAACATTCAATGTGATCCAAATAATATTCCATTAGCTACATTTTTAGACTATCAGAGAGCTCTAAGAAAAATAGACAGCATGCTCAGCACATCTGCTTACACTAATTTCCCGGCTTACGTAATATGCGATTTACGTAAATTCGCAGCTACAGAAATGTGCAAAGGACGTAATATTCAAAATGAAAAAGTAATCCATAAACAACTCTTTATTTCAACGGCAATTACTTCTTTCATATACAAATAATATTCACGGTATTATTTTATTCACTTATTTATCATCTTTTATTTACGGCAAAGGTACTAACCGAGGCTTTTAACCCCAGCCATTGTGCTAGAAAATTTAGAATCGATGATCTAGATATCAGACGGTACCAGAATGTTAGCAGGCGATTCCATTCCGGTACGTCCAGCAACAAGGCAATCTCATGGACCTTATAAGAAATAGACTTACCCAAATGGGTCTTCTTCCTCGTTCCCGGCTGTCACCTTGATCACATCCGAAGGAGTAGGGATGACTTGCAGAAATTTAACAGTGGTTGCCTATTGCAGCATGTATAATTGTCAAGAAAAAGCTGGTTGTAGCGCCTCATTTCACAAATTAGAATTTCTACATAGTTTTTATTTTTCAAATTGAGATTGATTTTTAAAAATTTAGCATATTTATCAAGCATAATTAACGTTCCAAATAATTATAAAGCTATTGCATGCTTTCAGGGCTGGATTAATTTTTTAGCTTTTCCTATGCTGTAAGGAAATTTGTAACTACTTCTTTTAGAAAATAATATTTTAAATCTGAACTAATAGAAAATTTCAAACAAGCAATTTTCTCTTGCAATTTTTATGTTTTTTATTGGTGTAAATAAGAAGTAAAAAATACTAAAATATTTAAAACGAATTTTGAAAGTTTTGTTTAAAATTCTAAATTGTGCTGCTTTTTTAAAATTATAGATGAATATTATAACACAATTTCTATAAAGGAATTTTATTTCAATTATATTTCACAATACATCATAGTGATAAACACTTTTGACTCCTTAATAATTTTTATACATTTAATTCTAATATTAAAATAGTATTTAACCGTAATAATTAATTTTGCTTGTATTTTATAGTGATTATTTTTAAAATTTATTTTTAGTTCTGCGTAAGATTTTTTTTATTTACTGTTAATTTAATTTTTTAGCCCAAAGGGGCGGTAGCCTAGAAAGGCTGTTAGTTTCGGAGCGGCATTTTGCGCTGTTTTACTATAAATGTCCGTGTCTCCTTGCAAATTGTTGTTACCAAATATTATCGCCCTGTATTTTCATATTTAAAGAAATTAAATAATGAAGAATCTGCATTAATACTTTGTATGTTTCTCGCACTGTGACAAAAACGACAGTATCTAGAGCCATCAAATTTTGAATAATGTAATCCTCCACTCGAACATGGCCATCTGGACGGCTGAATTTCGAATTTGTTTTAATCTATTTAATATTTTGTAAAACGTTAACGAATTTTTGATTAACAAACTCAACGTGTTCAGAGAGAGCACTGTACGGAAAATAACAGTTTTATCTTCAGTGCGGAAATTCTAAAAATATGCTGTTTTCAAATGTATGTGGTTTACGGGCGAAGAACATGATATTCAGTAAATATAGGTAACACACGAAACGTTAAAAAAAGGTTCCTTTTGGGCGTAATATAAAATCTGAGTGCTTCTAGATTTTATTTTACCTTTTTTTTGCCCTTCGTAATGAAGGGAGACTCAGAAAATTTTATGCTCCGAATTTTATAAATTACTAAATAAATATTCCACTTTGAGGTTAATAAGTTAATCTTCTTTTATATATATAAGCCGCTAAAGTGTGTGTCGCCGATAGTTTATTGTTGTCTTTCGGAAAAATGAGCACGCAAATTAACGTTTCCGCAGTTTTAATTAATATCTTGGCCGATTAAAATCGTACGAAGATGAGAACGGTATCGATGGATTAGGAGAAATTTTTCGAATCCGAGGATGCGCGTTTCGAATTTCAACTCGGCGCCGTTCCGTAGATATTCGAGAAAAAAGAATTTGGCACGTAATTAAATCTCTCTAATAGGGAAAAACCAAGAAAGAAAGTGGAAAATGTAGAGAAAACGTAGGGGAAGCGTGCCACGGACCTGCGGAATCCAACGGTGTGCTTCGCTCCCGGGAGCCAGCCGTTTCGGAGGAGATGATGTTACTTCACCTAATATATATATATGCGGCTTAAATGTCTGTTTGTCGCAGATAGTTTATTGGTTGCTTGCTTAACTGTACTAGTCAATGGGGTGAAGCTGCCACGGCATAGGGTTGCCGTTTTAATTGAGACGTAGACAATTTCCTGTAAAACTTGCCTTGGCTATGACCATCCATAAGCCTCAGGGCCAAACGCTTAAGCGTGTTGGCATTTTTTTACCTGAGCCTGCATTTGGACACGGTCAACTTTATGTTGCCTGTTCAAGAGTTCGTGAAAGAACGGACGTAAAATTAAAGATAATAGATGGTCCTCTGCAAGGCGAGCTTAAAAATGATGGAAAGATCTACACAAGAAATATTATGTACAAAGAGATCTTTGACATGTGAACTAGCATTTCATTATTTAAATCACCTTTATTTATTGAGCTAGCGGTGGCTCTTAAGAAATGTACCGCCAGTGGTTTCCTTCATTGCACTCTACTTTAAGCAATTAAGCAAGTAGAAGGGGGACACCCCATGGGGCAGTAAGCAAAGGGGCGTCCTCGCCGCCTGCCCTGGGTAATTCAGTTTAATTACCAGACACCTTTGCACAAATAATTTTAATTACAATTTATAATATCTAGAACAGCGGTCATTTCTTATGACGGCCGGGCTTTCTAATGATGATATAATCAAATAAATGATTGTTTTGTAATGTTATTATAGTTTTGAAAATGACTGCCTGAAAATGGTCATTAAATTTTAAAAAAAGTTATCAGATCTTGTTTAATTTTACCTTATTTATTTCAAAGCATCACGTACTATCAATCTTATTTAATTTTACGTTATTTGTACGCAAAATTAAGTTCATGAATTTTGTGCCTAGAGTTTTTACTGTTTTACCAAAGTAAAGATGTTTATACAAGAATTACGCGAAATTCAGTAAAAATGCGCGAAATGCAGTAAAAAGTGCTTTAATGAGATATATTAAATCCTATTTGTAAAAAACTGTGGCTTTCATAATCTCATCACTATACAACGTATTACATTTAATAATTAAAAAGAGTTATGTGATACAAACGCCATAGGTTTTCAGTGTTAAAGTAAACCAGATCGTCAATACTCTTTCTTGCCGACATGTCGGTGACGCGCGCCCCGCCCACTGGGTTAGTCTCTCCTATAAGGTCCATGGGCAATCTACGATGACAAAAAGTGGATGACCACACAATCTACTCTAGACATTGTTACGAAACGTCCAGCTGCGGTAAGATGGCTTCCCTGCAAGGCGGGTTTTTTGTTGCCAGAAAATGCAAGGGAAGGCAGCGTCGCCATATTGTTTCCCGTTTCATACGAACTTTTGAACTGCAAATTATAAGTTTATTCTGGGAAATAAGAAATACCCTTACTAAACTGTGCTTATATTTTTCTCTAATTTTAATTTATCAGTTTTATATAACTTTACCTGTTTGTTCCAACAGCAAACTTATCAAGGCCTTTAAAGCCTCCTACTTTGAGAAATAATATTAAGTAATCGACTTAAAATATATTGTATATATATATATATATTGCTCGAGTAAAGGACGAAACACCTTCGTATTTATTTCTTAATTATTGTTCATTGAACGAGAGTTGGTTTGTTCCCCTTGAAAAGTCAACTAATTTCCAATCAATGGCAATGATTACTTGCATTTAATTTAATTACTTGCTTTTAATTTATTTCTCTTTACAATTGAAATTTTGTTATTCATGATTTAATTCAAGTCCCCGTTAAACATTTTTAACAATTTACATTTAAGATACTTTAAAACAATTTTCTAAATTAAACTTACTAACTATGGATTCACTCTTTTAAGATAATTTTACTAAAATTAATTTTGAGATAAATATAATCAATATTTCTTTAGTAAATAAATTATTATTAACTTACTTTGCAGCAAATGCGCAAGTAGTAGAATAATTCGATTTCGCACTAAGTGAATTTAAGATCATGCAACATATATATATTGCGCAAGTAGTAGAATAATTTCGCACTAAATGAATTTAAGATCATACAACATATATATATATATTACCGCATTTATATCGAGTTTTAACAAATTTTGTTAATCTGTAAAACTCATTTAACTGAAGATCTTTTTTTTTTTTTTTTTTTTTTTTTTTTTTGGAGGGAGGGTCGCTGGTATGTAAAAAACTCTGAACTTGAACTCTGAACTATAGCCAGGATTTAATTTCTAAAATTAGGAATGCTGGACCTCTGTGGAAAGTCAACAAAAGTAAATGAGTAAAACAATAAACAATTAGTAATCGAAATTAAGTAAAATATAAACTGAAAATTTTTTTAATTAATTGAAGTGACGACTGAGCAAATAATCAGTTAAAATCATAAAATGAAATTAAATAATAAGACAAATGAAAAGTGAGTAAATTAATAGAAATAAACAATATTACCGAGGATAAAAAGAAGATAAGTAGTTTGATCAGTATACTTCGTATTCAGAAAATATTGCATCTTTATTTTGGCTTCTAATCCGTTTGAAGCCCTTTTGACAAGATGAGTACAGGCTATGAAAGTTTCTCTTGCTGACAGGACCACGCTTTAAGATGGAGGATTTTTCTTCCACGGTTGCTAAAATTTTGCCATTTTGCTCTTGCTAGAAGAATTGAGGCATTCATTCAGTATCTAATAACAATATCAGTTTTACGAAATGCTCAATAAAATATTCTGCTAATTACAATAATAATCTAATAATGTCGCGACCTTTTAGGAAAAAGCATACTATATTTGGATTTTTTATTGGCCCACTATGAAGAAAATTCTAGTTAGTAAGTTACATTTAATTTTTATTTCATTTTAGGGGGAGTTAAGTCGCCCATAACATGCAAACTGGTGCTGAAAAAAATTGTAAAACTAAAATCGTTTTTATTTGAAGAAACAACATTCATTTAGAATTAATACAGAAGAGAATTTTATTAAAATTGACCGCTATACGGTGTTTCATATTTATAAATACTCTTTACTCGTAGGAAATAAGTGTCGCTGAGAAAAATAATCAAATGTAAAAAATTAACTTCATATGATAAAAATTATCCGAGGTGTTAATAATTACTGTAAAAGACAGCTACGCTTCAGCTTGATAAGTTTCAACCCATATCCCTAGCTAACATTTCATATCTTAGATACATTGATTTAAAAATATCGTTTTGAAATTACCAGTTTGTAGAATACCGAAATTCTAAATTTTTTGTTTAATAAAACTCACCTTTTCACAAATTCTAAATGGTTACAGCCGAAAACATCGCGGCAAAAACATCGCAGACGAAAATGTCGCGGAGAAAACAACGCAAGGCGAAAACGTTGTGCTACAAAACATCGTGGGAGAAAACATCGCAAAGAGAAAACATCGCAGTTCTAAAACATCGTCGTACAAAACATCGTCGTCGAAAATAAAGCGGTTCAAAAACATCGCAGTTTAAAAACATCGTCGTTGAAAATATCGTGGTAAAACATAAAGTATCTACAAATCATCGCATGACGATAACATCGCAGACATGCTTTTTCAGGCATGCTTTAATAAGTGTAAATGGATATTCCCATAATGATTTGTGAGCGCAAGATGGAAAGAAGGATAATTTTACTTTCATATTTTCTATTAATTAATAAATTTTGCTGAGAAAATAAAAAGGAAACTTAAGCATAAAAAATTAATGCAACTTATAGCACTTAATAGAATTTTAAACAGACATAGTTAACTAACAAAGGCCATTATAAATCATTTTTATAAAGTTTTTACTGGTAATATTTCATGAAAAGTATAATCTATAAGTTACATTTAATTTTCTATGCTTAAGTTTCCTTCTTACTTTTCAGCAAAAATTTATTAGTTAATAAAAAGGTGAAAGTAAAATTTATCCTTCTTTACACCTTGCGCTCACAAATCATTATGGGAATATCCATTTACAATTATTAAAAACCTGAAAAAGCATGTCTGCGATGTTATCGTCATGCGATGATTTGTAGATACTTTATTTTTTACCACGATATTTTCGACGACGATGTTTTTAAACTGCGATGTTTTTGAACCGCTTTATTTTCTACGACGATGTTTTGTACCACGATGTTTTAGAACTGCGATGTTTTCTCTTTCCGATGTTTTCTCCCACGATGTTTTGTAGCACGACCTTTTCACCTTGCGTTGTTTTCTCCGCGATGTTTTCGTCCACGATGTTTTTTCCGCGATGTTATCGGCGGACACCATTCTAAATGAACATTTTTCCCCCCTTGGAATAAAAAAGATTTACTTCATGTAATTTTCGCAATTATTTCAGCAGCATTAATTTTCCATATTTTGGACTATTATTTTGCTTTCAAACGTAAAAAGAGAAAAGAACATCTTATTAATTAGAATGTTTTTCGTAGTGGGCCGGTATAAAGCTTTAAATTCCGTATCCTTTTCCTAAAATGTGTCACACATCTAAAATTATCACAATTTGGATATCCAATTTATATGCTTTGTTTTTTAAACTGCAACCGTGGATATATGCTAAACCATTCAAGAAACATATATTCGTGCAATCGATTTTCAAACATTATCTACAGTCAATAAGAAGTACTTGAGACTCTCAGTGCAGACTGATAAACTTTCATAAAGAATCATATAATCATGTCAACTAAAGTCGTATTAAAATCGAGTGTCCTTGTTATTTTTGTGGTATAATATTTTCTTTTATTTTTATTTCATAAAATGAATTTCTTGTATAATAAAAGATATACCAATTTTTCAGCGAAATGCACTTTACTGTTGAAGATATCTAATATCAAATTGAATACGGAAGTTTTAATAGCGGTAGATTTATTTGTACATTTCTTTGGGTCACAAAGAACTGAGTGGCTAAAGCCTCTGATTAATGATAGCTCACCCTTTTTGTGTTACCCGGCGAACTGATTGCTATAGCGTTCTCGTTAATTTCACCACTTTTAATCTGAATACCAGCGAGTTTCCATTATAAAATCCTTCACGCAGGTATTCCTCCTTCGGAGGATACCCTCGACTAAATAAATAAATAAACAAATTCAACCAATTACTATAACATTTGTTGCAGCCTGTTTTTATTTACAAGTTTTTTTTTTTTTTTTTTTTTTTTTTTTTACAAAAAATTATTCTTATCTACTTTATGAGGACAGTTAACATATGACGGGAGACGGAGACATCATGATTCTCCCAAGAGGTTAGGTGGTATTGTCTCGCATCCCTGCATATCTAGCATTAGGAGATACATCAAATAACATTGTAAGATATTGTAGTGTTGTGGCTCAGGACATAATTACATTATTTACATAATTATTACATTATTTCGAATAATGTAACGAAAACTTACCGGCAGTTATTTCTATTTAGCGTAACCGAAATCGGACGAAACAATCAGGGAATTTACGTAAGCCCAACAACGGACCCTCCTCTGAGTCAGACAGAACCTACTAATGTTATAATTCAAAATACAAAAGAAATTTTTATTGAAATAAATGAATATATAAAAGATTTTGTTGAAATATTTTAAATAAATTATCATTCCAACTGCTTCAAAAAGAAATTAACGTCGGCTTTCACATAACTGAGTTTCTGAGAAAAATAAGATTATAAAGAATAATGTGGAAGAGCACGAAACAACTGAACTGAACCACGTCCTTTTTAGTTTAGTAGAGCGATGAGATTTTACATGAACAAGAAGGCAAACAGAAACAGGTTTCTGATAAATTGTAGTGCTGAAATTAGACTCACTGTCAAGGATGTTGAAATTTTAGAACTGCTTCAGTTCTTTAACCGAATATTTAACCATAAAACTTTTTCCATTGCTTTCTAGTCATACTTACAGAGTAAAAAATTTCCTCCAAATTCGTCAATAAGTTGAGAATTTTCCTCATCTGAATTCTTTTGATGTCAAATCATTTTTTACCAATATTTGTGTTAAAGATGCACTAAAATGTAATGAAATGGGTCTTCAAGAATTTCATTTCTTTCACACTGAAACTCTGGAATAAATATGAAACGACTTCACTAGTTTTATTGGTATTTTGCTCGCATGTTGTTTATACAACTGGATGTACAACTGTTACTGGATGTCTGTACAACTGGGTGTACAACTGCAGCATTGATATATTAATAGTAATTTAAGAAATATAATACATTTATTAATAATTGCCAACAATATCGATATCAAATTAACAATCAGTACAATGAATGCACAGAATCAGTATTTGGTTAGCTTTTCAAGAGTAAAAATAGATAGATCTTGTTACTGGTAAGAATCTCTCTGCTTGAGAGTTTCAAAATGTTCTTCGTACTGTTGGTCTGTCTGAGTTTCAGAATGTTTTGCGGTCTGCCTGGTACTTTCTGCAAACAGAATTAATAGCATACTTTTAATTTCTCTGTAGCACTGAGTGCTCTGATTCGTCATTATTGAAAACTGTATCAGAAGAGCTGCAGAATCGTTGCTCGATGAGCTCCGTGAAATCGACAGCATTTGATGACAGACATATATTAACTTAAATTTTCTGATTCGAATTCATGAAATTATTATTTTTATAATGCCAAGTGGAGACAATATTTAACAAGTTGTTGCTTTTGTAATGTCTGAGCATTGAAACGACATTACGACATTACGACTTTAAAAAGACATCACATGCTTTTTAAGGGCTGGAAGGTCTGGTATCGGCCTGTAACTTAGACTTGTGAGGGGGACCGCACATGAAATTCTCAACTTTATGTGGTCGGCTAAAAATAAGATATGTCTCACTAACTTTTTAAAACAATTTATCTAACTAAATCGAAGGATTACCGTGGAACATCTTTTTATGTTTGTGCTTGCTGACATTTACATGTACTATTTTAAAGCCAAATCACTTAAAAATAAGTTGTTTTCATTTTAAATTTGCTATCTTATGGTACCTTCTTCTGTGTTGATAGCAAAAAGATGATTTACCAACATCTTAGCAGCTAAGATTTCCATCAGTTTCATAACTTAGATCCAGCTTAGATTTTATCAGACAACTCCATTGACAATTTATTAATGCATAATAAGTCTAATTTCAGTAGTACAATTTGTCGAAAAAAAAATTTTTTTTGGAGGGGGGGGTTTCTATTCCTTGTCGTCCTTTGTAATCTTGTCACTTTGCGAAATAAATAAACTTTCTTTCACTGACAAAAGAAATCTTTCTTGAGATCCTGTAAATATAATCTATGTGGATTTAAAACTTTGAACAAACAATGACTTCTATATTTTTCAGTTGTTTTGCAAGGAATATGTGTTCTTGAACATTTCTTCAAGTAACGCACGATAAACAGCTTGTTTCTAGAGTTAAGGAGTGGTTGACCACACAACGATTGCTCATATAATGTTTGAGAGATCTGAAGGTCTTTCAATAATTGACTACACTATATAACATGATCTTCTGTCAATTTATATTTTTATAAAATATAAACTTAGCCATGGCTATATGTATTAGACTAAATGAAAATTTACTTATTACTGTAGAAATTTTAAAATCAATCACAAAGCTCCACATTAATTCCCTTTTTTTTAGGGGGGATACTCTTTCTCTGTTAAAATGCATCGATTTTTTTTTCTGAAGTTGTCTTAATCTGAAAATAGCTTT